GAAGTCGCTAATTGAAACGGAACTGTTAAATTACATTATTATTATTCACACTCGTAGGTAATACATTTATTGATAATGAAATAGCACACGTAGTATGTGAATTGAAGGTAATAGAGTATGTACTTTAGATTAAACAAAATTTAATTTCTTAACATTTACATTTAGAAAAAATGAGAAGTATTCGTGGAAAAAACCTCATTGCTTCATTAAGTCACTGAAAGCAATGACAAATGGCATATGAACAAAAGAACATGATCAATGGGAAATTTGTTGACTTTTGATTTTCTATTTGGGACGCTCGGTATATCATATACATATTTCATTACGTAACAATAGAGATAAAAAATTGGATGTGGTGTTTTGTTGTAACACCCACTTAATAGATTTCCTCATACCCTTCGAGAATAAATAAATATATTTTAGATAAAAATGTAAATTTGAGAAGGCTAGAAATATCTATTCACGTTTAGGTTGACATTTGAATATAATTTAGCAACACTTGATATATTATATTTCACGCCCTTGAATTAGATATATTTGCGTTTCCATTTTTTGTAACATTTATCCTTTGTTTAATGCAACTGACAGATTTAAATGTCATTCTTTGTGTAGCAATATGTATAAATACAGGGTATCCCTGTGTCATCTCAATTTACAAGATTTTTGCAAAAAATGTTAATATCGCATTTTTGATACATATATGTTGTTAATAAAATTCGATTTTCTCAAAAACGGAACAAGATATCGACTGAAGTACGGTATACCTTCATTTTTGACATGACCTTTCCGGATACCCTGTATATTATATTAATGATCAATGACTTCTCACCTGTACAACCTGATATTAGTCATATGATTTCTATCACGATTAATGTCGTGCTTTAAATCAGCTTGTAGGTATGTTTATTTCAAATCAGTGTGTGGGGTAAAAATTGTGTATTTTTTATACCAGTTTGATTTAAAATTGCATACTTATTTAAAAATACATATTCTCGGGACGCATATCCAAAAACTGAAAATAGATACCTACCACTGATTTTATTAGTCGCTTTTCTTCAAATCCGTATAGGTCTTTTCTATAAAATGTGAATGGATCATATATTTTCGACTAAGACTTTTTTGTATACAGATATTCTTACATATTTGCCTTAATAAATGTAGAAGTATGGCAAAAAACGCTTCGAGTTTGAAGTACCGAGGAATATTTGACATTTAAGACCACTATTCCGTTAGACCCTCGGTTAGACCAGAATTTACATATTCTGTATTGTGCGGGATGCACCAAGTAAATGTGGTCAACGAACTTCCTAGCTTTATTATCGAGACGAGAGGATAGTTTTTGCTACAGACATAATAACTGACGAAATGAAGATAATGGGTATATTTATAGTTAGAGTTATATAGAGTTACGCAAACGGAATATATTTTTCCATTTAATATTTCGGAATATGTATGCTCAGGTAATCTTGATCTTACTGTATTAATTTTTTTTTAATGAAACTGACACATTAACAAGACCGTCACGAACATACTCACAGAAGATTAAGGATAATTAGGACTTAATTAAAACCTATCTTTATTAGGTGTGGATTTTGTTACAGGATACAAGTTCGTTATAATTTTTAGGCTAGTGTTTCGGTTGCGGAACTTCTTAATTTAGGTTATTTATAAGCCTGGAGACGTCAATGCCGTGACGCTGCGTTTTTTTTAAATTGGCGTCATAAATGTGAATTAATTTCTTTAAATTACAGAGAAAATTGAAAATTGTCATTTTAATAGATATGGACTTTGTCACCGTTCCTCCATTTTATGTAAAGATTAACATCGGCAGTTACGAGATAATAATTTTTAAGATTTAGAGAAGATTTACTTAAATACGAAAAAACTCTTCCAAAACAATAAAACAGAAACATACATAATTTTCCACTTCACACAACGCGGTATGATCACGTATCACACAAAACGTGTCTATACTGTCTATTCTCATCCATCTAGAAGAAGCGTAATAATGCTCTGCCGGAAATTTTACGATCATAACCTATTAAAAACGGAAACATAATCATTTTGATAAAGAACGATTATGTTAATACTGTAAATATTAGACTTTATAGAATAGATTTTCGCTACTATGCAAATGGAACATGGAAATGAGTGTTTCTTTAAAATAAAATTGTAAATTTGTTATAAAAGTTTTAATATGCGCTACACAAGTTATTCTAGAGAAACAGTTTAATAAGCCCATTTCTTTCAGTGTAAATATAAGTATATCTCGTATAATTTTGTTTTCTTGAAAAGTTAATAGGCCTCAACGTTTTTTTTTTTAATTTTTTTTTAAATATCGTCGTTCAAAGTGTTTCAACAAAAGCATGTATGTTGCTCCTAATAGTTGATATTGATCTGTGAAGTTGCACTATTTGAGTTTATTGATTATACCATTCTATTTTAGTTCATAATAAACCATATCTTTTTCTCGTAAAAGTAACACGTCCTACATATGTCCTTAGTGGTTTCAGTCAGTAAATCTAGATATTTCAGTACGCAAATCAGTCCAAAAGAAAATTGTTTTACGGGCCCGCGGTATTTATAGGTTTTTTAAGTATGTCTGACGTAAGTAATGACATATTAACACTGGTATACACCGCTATTCGAAGTGCACAGCATTTTTATATTCTTCTGAATTCTATTTACATTCAAGATATATTCTGTTTTAAAAAGTATGATAACGAAATTTATTACGCAAACATACATGTTTTTCAAAATTTTATTTTGAAAATATGCGACAAGAGAAAATTTTTTTTGTATTTCTAGTTTATTATTGGATTCCATTCCATCCCATTCCATAAAATACAAAAATATGTTTTCCTGTAAAGCATGCGTCAAAAAATATTTATTCGTATTTCCCAAAAGATGTTACCCGTCATTTTTTTATTTGACCGTAATAAAGTTATTATCATCAATCACTTTTGTCTTTTATGAATCTCGTAAAGTTAACAGTAACATGAATGCAGACATGAAAGAAAGTTATTTTTGTGAAAAGAAAAAATCTTTTATAATAAAAAGAGGGGAACTCATGTTATATCTGTGTGACCACTCGCAAAATATCATTGAACATACATATTAATGTATGTATTGTTGCTATTTCGTCTATGTATGTATGTCATTTATTTCGAGGCACACAGTTTGATTATTAAGTGCCCTAGAAACTATTGTTCAATGTTAGTGCTTTGTCTGGACCACATATTTTCGTATACAGGGTGGTGTATTAAAATAAGTTCCAAATTCTAAAACAGATGCAATTTAAGAAAATAAGAAACATTTCCCGCAATACGTTTTGTTATAGAATAAAATATGGAAGACACTTGTGGCAGTTTGTATATATTCCATCCATTTCCGATTATTGTTTCTTATTTGTTTTACGTATTGATTAAGTAATTATATTTGTGGATGGTGGAAAAGCACTCTAGATATGAATTGGAGTACGTTATGGCGAAATTTATTAGTTGAAGTCGTGCTATTTTGATCGGAGATAAGATCGTAACGAATTTCAAGAAACGTACGGATTATACGGATAATTTGAGGAGGGATTATCTTAATGCATTTAAGAGTGGCATTTAAGTGTTTATTTAAATAATTTAAATTGCAATCTAAATGACAAGATATTGAAAAGGTACTGGGAATTTTTTATAAAATATTTGCTATTCTTGTAGTAAGTATTTTTAATACATTTTTCATTAAAAATAAAAACTTACTAAAAAAATGATACAAATGATGATATCGTATTTAAAATAAATTAATTTCACCTCTATTTTGAAAATAAAAGAATATATTTCAAACGGAAATTTCTTATTTATTTAATTCTAATGCCTCTGGGTGTATGGTATGCTTTTTTGACACCCTGTATAATATCAAACCATTTCCAAATTCAAAATTCGATTAAACGTCAATAATTTCAATACATTTGGATATCTTACTTTGTTGGGAAAGCCTCGTATTTCACCTTGAAACTTACTGCATGTATTTTTAAAATTATCACTTTCGGTCGGTTTTCATGAGAAACATCACTGACAACGGTTCACTTATCGATGATGTTATGTAAATAAAACATTTACGCCCAAGAAAACATCGGGGAGCGGTATAAAGCAAACAGTAGTGCTGCTACCACATTTCCTTACAACAGGAAGATGATGAATAAATTTGTCATATTATATTGAACCATGTATTTGTACCAATTTAACCAAGTCCCATAATAGTTCATTTAACATTTCAGCGTTAGTAGGTCGTGTTCAGGCTTTACATGTGCGTTTTTGTTTGCTGCATTACGTAGTTTGGAATTAGAAAGTATAAAGCTCTAATTGTATCTATTTGTTTTCAAATATATGTTAATATATACAGTTATTCATCATTGTCCTTGTTACTGGAATTTATGTTCTAGTTCGCAGTAAGTTTTGCCCTTCTGGAAACACGGCTTCCTCAGTTTGATATTTATTATTATTAGGTTATTTAGTACAACTGTAAAAAATTGTATGGTTGCAAACAGATACTATCGGATGTCCCACAATTTAGAATTTAGATAAAAACAACATTAAGGACTGTCTAAAATTACAAAATACATCAATTTATCAATAGAATAGGCCAGCCTACTAGGTACTTCCTCTTTTGCTTTTTTCACACTGAACACTCTCAGTATCAATGTCAATGTTTTCAAATTTCCTGATTTAAAGCATTATTATCAGTTTAAACTGCAGTTTTTTGTAAGGATAATAAAAAAATTTAATCTAAAATTTAGTTTACAATGTTATATGGATAATTAAATAGATTGGCCTTATGAAACACATTAAAAAGGTAACGAAACTTGTAACGTGGAGTCAGTTTAACTCGACTTGCAAAGTTCGTTTGTAAAACTCTGAAGACGTGGGCCCTGCGTAGCTCACTCCTACATCTGTAAAGTGTTTACAGCGGTGGTCATGGTTACACTTAATAACACCTTTTATTTGTTTCAGGGGTCCTGGACATGACCGCCACGGAGAACACCATCCGTTTCAGTGTCCACACCCTGGACAAGGCAACCAAAGCGAAAGTCACATTAGAAAATTATTACAGTAACCTAATAGCTCAGCACGTAGAGCGAAAACAAAGGTAAGAGTGGAAACTATCTTTTATGGCTTCACATATATTATACAGGTGCAACTTTAATATTCTATAGCTATTAGTACGTGTATCCTAGAATCTGAAACTAATTTTTATCGAATTGAGTTACAATCAATTTTTTTTAACTTTTTATTAAAGTGCCTTAAATAAAGAGATTAATTTAATATTTATATTAATTTAGACTTTGTTTCTAAAAGTATTTCATTGGCAATTTTGTTGTTTCTTTTCAGGCTAGCGAAATTAGAAGAGTCCCTAAAAGACGACAGTCTCTCAGAGGAACAGAAACACGAAAAGAGGCTGCAACATGCCCAAAAAGAAACAGAATTCCTTAGGCTTAAGCGATCTAGATTAGGCGTCGAAGACTTCGAACCCCTCAAAGTGATAGGACGGGGGGCTTTCGGGGAAGTAAGATTAGTCCAGAAGAAAGACACCGGTCATGTGTACGCTATGAAGATACTTAGGAAGGCCGACATGTTGGAAAAAGAACAGGTAATTGCTCTTTTAGCAGGAAATTATTTGAGATGTCACTACATTCGAAAATTTCGAGAATACATCTTGGCTTTGTTCCTAGCGCATTAGAAATAGTTTCCAGACTAACTAATATCCGTGTTTTTGACTGTTGTGCGAACAAACCTGTTGTCAATCTCTCGAATTGGAATTCACGATCATTAGATCTTCTCTGTTTAGGTCAAAATAACTCACGGAATGTGAAAATTGTACCAGTACTTGCGAAATTAGTGTCGATTTTTGGCGACAGTTTTTTAATGACGTCGACGTTAAATTCTTAATGACCTAAAAGTACTATTCAATTTTTACAAGCTATCTAAGATGGTGAGTATCTACACTGGATGTTAATTTATACAAAAATCTGTCAATATGAAGTCATGTGTTTATTTGTACGAATTGGTAAGAATAAACATTGTAATCACACACGTGTATAAATACGAATTTATTTTAATCTAATATTTCGTCCAAATTCATACAAAATTTTTGTATAATCTCACACTCAATGTAACTGCCACCTAAACCTTGTGTATTACGAAAATTAAAATTAACATATCAGATTTCTGTGAAGCAGAGATTTTTTGTGTTCCTAATATGAATGAACCTCTCAAAAAGTTGCGATAGGTGTTTGATTGACATTGCGATAAGATAGATCATACGCAAAAATCAGATAGATCATAAGTAATACAAAATAAGAACCTGGAAATCAGATAACAAATGATTTGGACCCTAGCAACAGACTAAAATATTTTTCTAACACCTGTAAGTTTTTCATTGCACTGCACCAGACAAGGCATCAACCGGTCAATTTTTTTCTGAGATGGAAGCGGAATCAGCTGTTTAAAATAACATTGCACGATATTTCAGTTATCATATATGCCATAATATTAATTCTTTTTTATCTGCTCCCACTATAGTAAATATACTATTAACACATTGTTTTTAAGGAGGTAAGTGGATTTTACCGTAGAAGTGGAAGTTGCTATTAGTGCTGGCAAAAAACCGGAAATAAGTGAAACCGGTTAACCGGGTTCCGTAAAAACCGATTTCAGATAAAACCGGTTAATTGTCTAAAAAAAATCTGGAAGTCAAATTTGTTTACGAAGAAATTGATCTTCAAAAAAAAAAAGTCAATTACAATCTTACAATCGGGCAAATCGATGTCTAAAAAAAAAGGAAGTAGATCATCGAATAATCGGTTAATTGAATAATCGGATATTTGAAGATTCGAATAACCGAATAACGGTTTTCGGATATTTGAAGAATCGAATAACCGGTTTTCAGATTTCATAAAAATCCAAATTATCCGAAACCGGTTAACCGACTATCCAAAAAACCTGTTTCAGTTGCCAGCACTAGTTGCTATGGACAACGGGAGGTAAGTAAGGTAACTTACTTCCCTAGGAAAAAAAGCGAATTCGAGTGTATAAATGCATATTTTATGAACAAATAAATAGAAATATTTTATGAACATTACATTTTATTAGTTACTATGAATGAATATTTATAGTAATTATACAGTTACTACATTTAGTAACATTTATAAAATCTGGAGAAAATTATTCCTCTCGCGTTTACTAATTGTCGCTCCATTTCAGTCACCGGAGGCTCAATATTATCTAACTGATCCATTAAAACAGCATGATGCGACATACTACTAGAACCTGGAGTTGAAGTGTCATTGTAAAGAATCCTGTTGGCTATTTCATTTTTGTTACTGTCAGCAACATAACTTTCTCCAATTGTAACTGAGTTCCACCCACATGTCTTAATTGATAATACATCAACTCCTGTATTAGCCAGTAACGTTGCCAATGTTCTTCGGAATGGATGGCCTGTATATGTTTCAGGATGTTGTGCAATCTTATTAGGAATCATAGAAAGGGCATTCTTGCCGACTTGTTGGTTGTAACATCTACCTGCTTGATAGCGCATAAAAAAGCGTGAAATTTCGGTTTTAAATTTCTGGTATATTTCTTGAGAATTTCTTGGTGAGACACAGAACCCAGACGAGAAGTAATTGTAAACGTACGTGACATACCATTTTTAGAATCTGGAATTGTAATTACAATAATGTCATTGAAATTTTTGAAATTGACGTCCAAAGTAAGTTTGCATAACTCATCAGTATTGCATGCTCTTGCAGTGCCTAAGACCGTCACTACCTTCATTAGCAAATATGGTTATCGAGTGCCTGAACGAGAAAATCGTTGACTTGTTCTCTTGTAAAAACGTTTGACTTTTTAGGTATATAGCTGTCATTCTTACGTTTCAAAAATGCTCTCAGCTTGGGATATTTTGATATATCCAATATATCCACGTTCTCCTCTATGAAAATAGTTGACTTAATCATTGAGTATTTACTCCACAAACTCGCTGGTGACTTTAAAGTTCTTGACTTCTCCATGAAATATGCTAGCAGTCACATTTCAGAAACAGCCGTATTTTTGTTCTGGCACAATTCTTTGAAATTTCTTTATGCTCGTCCATAGTGCACTTTCAACTTCTCGGACAATAAAAATTCGCAGGTAGCTTTGTTTATAAACACCTTAGAACCGACAAAATCTAAACAAGCAAGACGACTGCAAGATTTCGAATAATGTCAAAATGAATTGATTAAGAAATGTCAAAAAATAAAACCTAATCTTTATTTCAAGAACCATAAAGAACTGTGGGCGCAGATAAAATGTTATACACCACGCAGTAGTTAAATATAATTTACCTCCTTTATAGTGTAAATAACTAATTAAATTAGAAATAATAAACAATTTAATTTTTAATAATGAATTTTCCCGATTTTGACTCATTCTCTTACCTGACACCTACTAAAATGAATCTACCAAGTCGTATGTTGTTTGTTTGTCCGTATTTGGTTCTTACCGACAAAAAAAAAACTAAAGCTCGCTCTAATTTATTCCAGGTCGCACACGTGAGAGCAGAACGTGACATTTTAGTAGAGGCCGACCACCAGTGGGTGGTCAAAATGTATTATAGTTTCCAAGACCCTATCAACTTGTATTTAATAATGGAATTCCTGCCCGGCGGCGACATGATGACCCTTCTCATGAAGAAGGACACGCTCTCGGAAGAGTGCACGCAGTTCTACATCACAGAAACTGCACTGGCCATCGACTCCATACACAAGCTCGGCTTCATCCACAGGGACATCAAACCCGACAACCTGCTGTTGGACGCCAAGGGGCACCTCAAACTCTCCGACTTCGGGCTGTGCACGGGCCTGAAGAAATCTCACAGGACGGACTTCTACCGGGACTTGAGCCAAGCCAAACCTTCCGATTTCAGTGAGTAAACTTTATTTTGCTAATGTTGCTAATGTAACGAGATACTATTTATTTTCAGTAATCACCTCGAGTCCGATGGACAGCAAACGGAGGGCCGAAAGTTGGAAGAAGAATCGAAGGGCGCTGGCTTACAGTACAGTGGGTACCCCGGATTATATCGCGCCGGAAGTCTTTCTGCAGACAGGATACGGACCTGCCTGCGATTGGTGGTCCTTAGGGGTCATCATGTACGAAATGCTAATCGGATACCCACCGTTCTGTTCGGAAAACCCCCAAGACACTTACAGGAAAGTGATGAACTGGAGGGAAACCTTGGTGTTCCCCGCTGAAGTTCCGATCTCAGAAGAGGCCAAAGATACAATTATAAAGTAAGTAGAAGTGTTTTTTCTAATTCGTATTCAGTTTTAAATTGTTAAAGTTGGCTCATCTTGAAAGACCCATGTAGTTGGGTTCGTATGCGTAGATCCATGATTCCATGTCATAGACGTGTTTTGAAGCACTGTGATCGTATTTCTCGACCATTCGGCAGGAGCCTTTTTTTCAGTGTTTGTCAAATTGTGTGGGAGCCAACGCGAACAATTTTTTTTTTGGCAGGCCCAATGTTCATGCAATATTGAATGTATGCTGGTTGTTTTCTTGCATTTACTATAACATATTTTCTAAGAAAATGAACCTCATTGCAGGTAAAAATTGTGAAGATTTAAGTTTTGACACGTGTTTGAAAAAAGTATCGATTTTCACCATTTTTTTCACTTATATTGAATAAAAAACACCTTTAAACTGTATGATTGCCCAACTTTTTGAGCTAGAGTTCCTGTAAATCAAAAAAATTTCGTTTCTAGAAAAACATGTTTGAAGATTTCCAAAAAACTAGAAATTTGAGAAAGTTATCCATAATATACAGGGTGCGGCGTATATAATCTATAAAAATTAAACTACAGCTTCCTAACGATATTTGTAATAGAAGTCTTATACGAAAAAGTTCTATTTTTGCGTTTTTTTTTCACAAATTAAAATTCAATTATGTACAAAATATTTTCTCTGGAACGATCCTGTCCATGTGCTGTACAATGAGTTACGTGCTGTAGTCTAGCCGCGTAAACAAATCGTCGTTGAAAGATAGGTCTGTAGTTGCCAACTGTGTGCACTAAACAAACTCCATTAAAATACGGAACAAAATGAAATAAAACTTACCATTTCTAGAGATAATGTTGAAATTAATCCCCATTAGCGCGGATACAGACATGGCACCGACGCACCCAATTTTGGCGAATATTTTCCCAAATTCCAGGTATTTCCCTAATTGTGTCGGCAGCTTCGAGTATACAGTTTCGCAATTCTTCCACCAATAGCAATTGGAGTATTCTAAACCAATGACCTCAAGTGACTCCAAAGATAAAAGTCCATTGGAGTTAGATCGGGTGACCGAGGTGGCCACGGCACAGGACCAAAACGTCCAATCCATTGCTGAGGAAACATTTAATTCAAAAGTGTCGTTACTTCTCGTCTATTGTATGGAGGAGCCCCATCTTGAAGATAAAACATGCATGCCACAACTTGTAATGCCACATCGTCCAATAATTCAAGCAACTGATTTTCCAAAAAGTCGGCATATGTTGGTCCATTTAGTCGTCCTTCAAAGAAATAGGGACCCATAAGTACATCGCCTATTATGCCAACCCAAACATTTACCGAGAACCGATGTTGAAAATGAGTTTCCCTAATCGTGTGAGGATTTTCATCGGCCCATATGTGCTTATTATGGAAATTCAGTTCATCACAGGTAAATGTCGCCTCATCTGTTACACAAACATAAACAGGAAAATCTACTTGATTTGCACATTGCTGTAGAAACCATCTGCAAAAACGCATTCGTTGATCACAATCCGGGGGTAAAATCTGTTGAGCTGGTTGCAGATGATAGGGGTGCAACAGCTGGCGCCTTAAGATGCGAGATGAGGTTCCTACTTGTTGTGCGAGTCGTCGAGTACTAATTGTGGGGTCTTCGTCAAGATTTTCCAAAACTACATCTTCAACATTATGGTTCAGTTGCTGACCACATTCCTTCTCCTCGAGGAATAACACTTCTCATATCTCACAGCTGCTGAACACACTGTAGGATTGTATTTGCACGTGGGGGGTGACGTGGTGGCGAACGTTCCCGGTACAACCTAGTTGTTTCTCCGGCTGCAGCATACACTAATACCATATCGACACGTTCGGAAATAGTAAGTTCATTGTTTTCTCGGTTCATTCTATCGTGGAATTGCAAAATAAAAACTTTTGTCTGGAATCTTTCACTTTTTTTCAATACAAATACAAACTCAGTTGACTGCACAAATTTTTTGACAATGTAACCTAATCTTTTAGTAATACTAGTATTAGATTATACCGACTTAAATTATAAGGTTGCATCTCGGGTCGCATAAAAACATTTCCAAAGTTTTTAGTAAATAACACAGGGTCGGCCCTCATTTTCGTTGAATAAATGAACTAATTTACAAAAAAAAACGCGAAGATAGAACTTTTTCGTATAAGACTTTTCTATTACAAATATCATCAGGAAACTCTAGTTTAATTTTTATAGATTATACACGCCACACCCTGTAGAGTGCTTTCCGATCATTGAGCTATTCCAGAACCATACAACAGTCCTTCTCTTCCTCGTAGGCATCATTCTGAGCTTGCATCTGTTCTTTTCTTGCTTAATAAGTGACTAGACTATTTGTGCAAATGCTCCACGCTACCTGCTGCCACACGCAAACGCAGACCCGATGGTCATTCGGTTTTAGGCTTATAAAATCAGAACGAATAGGAATTTCGTTTTGAAATGTTGACAGCATAATCTTGAATAGTTCTAACAATTTATGCAATAAAAATAATCCGATTTTTTGAACCTCCTAATGTGGTTTCCCCTTTTTATTCCATATTTTCGTCAAGATGAATTTTTCAAGCCACTGTAAACATAACAAATAGCGCCTGTAAGTGAAAACGTTCCGAGTAAGTATACCGACAAAAAGACGGACTTTGCGATACAAACATCGGTTGTCAGGTCGCAGCGCCAGGATCGTCCATTTCCGAAATATAAAATACTGCTGTATATTTCAGGTTTTGTTGCGAAGCAGACAGACGACTAGGATCTCAAAAAGGCTTGGAGGATTTGAAGCTGAATCAATTCTTCCGGGGCGTCGACTGGGAGCACATAAGGGAGAGGCCCGCCGCCATACCGGTGGAGGTCAGGTCCATAGACGACACGTCAAACTTCGACGATTTCCCCGACGTCACACTCGAAATTCGTAAGTACACAAGGACCTACGTTTATCTTTACCCATTTTTTCATAAAGAAATCTTTCCAGCTGCGGCTCCCATGCCCCAGGACGGCGAGATAAACTATAAGGATTGGGTGTTTATCAACTACACGTTCAAGCGGTTCGAGGGGCTCACGCAGCGGGGGACCCCCACAAAGAAATAGCTTTAGTGACCTTTGTTAATAGCGTTCATTGCAGGAGAGTGGCAAATTAATCGGCACTTATTTTTAGAAAATGAACCACCTCGGAGATGTGTTTATATAAATATAGTGCTCTCATATTATTTTGGATTCGATCAGTTGTTTTCTAAAAATAAGTTTTTTGTGTATTATAGGTCTGAAGCAGTTTTGCACTGTTTTTGCTTCCAGAGCTGTGAAACTGTACCTCGTGTTGTATTTAAGATGACGTCGGGTGGTTTTCTGTATTCCTGGAGAATAAGCGAAAAATTAATCTTGTTAAAATCATTATTTATTTCAGTTACGATAAAATATTTTATTAAGAGGGCTCTATAGCAAATAGGCAACCAGCAATACATTTTTATAGATTTTATTACACATTTTGTCTAAATATGAATTAATGCACAAATAACAGACTTTCCCCCATTTTAATGCAGATTTTCTATAGAATGGACTTAGTTTGAAACTCAAATTACTCTTTAGTGTAGAGAAATTTGTAATTTACTTGTTCAAAAGCGGAAAATTACAAATTTCTTTACAACAAAATGTTATTTGAGTTTCAAACGAAGCTCATTTTATAGAAAATGTGCGTTAGAATGGAGGAAAGTCTGTTACTTGTGCGTTAATTCATATTTAGACAAACTGTGTAATAAAATCTATAAAAATGCATTGTTCGTTGCCTATTTGCTATAGAGCCCCCTTAATTTTTTAAACAATGTTTTGATACAAATTCTAATACTGTTATATTTTTGCTAATGTTTTGAAGGTATTATATTGCGTATTTGCAGGAATTTGCCGTCGGTTAGTGAAACGCGATTAAAATACGAACGAGGGGAGCGGCTGCCGTTTTAAGTACAACACGAGAATCTACTTTTGTGTATATGTTATTTTTGTTTTATTGTTACAAAGTGATACTTTTTATTATTATTTTACATTTTGTTTTTAACTTATAGACCTTTGTATTGAATTTCCAACTGTCGTCGGGAGACATTTTGTAATAGCTTTGATGATGGACGTCGCCTGAATTTATTAGCACCGTTTCAGTCTGCTTCTGTCAGTGAGATCATATTTGTACAATTATATTAATGCTAGTGGCGCGGCGCGGGCAGGCACGAATAGGACGTAACGTGGGTCTCGGGTGTTCTTCACTTTAAGAAATCGATCGTGATTGTAACTTAATTTTTGACGCTAGTGTGTCGTTGTGGGGAATTGCGATGAAAACGATATTTCAGTTTTGGCAAAACCAGTTTTTTAATAGCTTTTTTAATTTTGAAGGGATGTTAGTAGCTTCAATTTTTCCATTTTTTTTTAATTAGTCATATAGGGTGTTCCAAAAGCTGCAATAAATTAAAAGAGATAATTCTACTCTTAAAAATAATTTTTAGTTTATATGCGAGTTACATAACCTCAAAATTATTTTTTTACGACTTGGTGCGGTAAAAAAAACGGTGTGGTGGGGCATAGTATACAAGTGTTTATTTTAATAGAAAAAAGTAAAAACCAAACAAAATCAATATTTTTATTGTTAAGTTGTATTTTGTCAAAAGGCTATAGTTTTTAATCGTTCAAAAAAAAAGTACATCTTTATAGCACAAGGGTGGGTTAATAAGTTCTTGTACCTAAAACGACGGAAAAAACGCATTTTTTGGATCGGTTTATTTATTTGTTTCAACATAGCTTCCTTTTCCAACTTTTTCAAGCCAGGATTTCGTATGACTCTGAAAATAGACAAGTGTTTTGACGAAAATGTCCTTCGACAAGGATTTTTCCGTCGGAAAAATATCCTTGTCGAAAGAGGACATTTTCGTCGAGCCATTTCTGTTTGGAAATAGGAAGTCGCTTGGGATCAAATCTGGTGAACATGGCGGATACGGCCACGGTTCATATTTCATTTAAAAAATGTTCACCATTGCAACCGCACAGGTTCGTACCCGTTGATCGTCTCGATGGAAGAGCATTTTTTTTTTGGCAAAATGTAGGCCAGGGCAAAAAATCGATATATAGATTTGAAACGATTGTATTTTTGAATCAATTTATAGTTTCGCAGAAAAAAACGAATTGGGACATCGAATCGATTCGATTCAAATAAAATTATTCAATTCTATTAATTGACACGAATCGATTTTTTTGACGAATTGGAAATGGATTCGTTATTTCGCGAATAGCACAGGCCTAGCCAAGCGACTTTTTTTATTTCTTTGTTCAGCCGATCCGATAATGACGCACAATATTCTCCATTTATCGTTCGTCCTTTTTCCAAATAATCAATTTGGGTGATTCCGTGCACATTCCAAAAGAACACCTCTTTGTAAGATTTTTTAATGATCCATGTTTAATTTTTTTAGAAACTTCATATTCTAAATTAAAGTAATTTGCAAGCTTTTAGGTTTTACAATTTTCCATAAATATATATTTTGTTAAAAAACGGTAAAGAAACTTTGTTAAGAGGACTCTATAACAAATAGGCAACCAACAATACATTTTTATAGATTTTATTACACAGTTTCTCTAAATATGAATTAATGCACAAATAACAGACTTTCCTCCATTTTAACGCAGATTTTCTATAAAATGGACTAAGTCTGAAACTCATATTACTTTTTGTTGCAAAGAAATTTGTAATTTACTTGTTCAAAAGCGGCAAATTACAAATTTCTTTACAACAAAAAGCAATTTGAGTTTCAAAGTCCATTTTATAGAAAATCTGTGTTAAAATGGGGGAAAGTCTGTTATTTCTGCATTGATCAATATTTAGACAAACTGTGTAATAAAATCTATAAATGTGTATTGCTGGTTGCCTATTTGCTACAGAGTCCTCTTAATATTAACATTTGAAAAGAGGTCCATAAGAACATATACCATTTTTATGAGTAGAATCGCCTTCTAAACTTTTTGCGTCTTTTAGAACATCCTGTATTGTAGCTATAATATAATGACTACTTTTAATAATTAAGATTATCAGCCCAGAAGTCGAAACTTGTGCGAAAAAGAGTGAATATTATTCAGCAGCCCACATTAAACAGAGTTTTGGTAAAGATAAAAATTAAAATTGGCTAATTTTTTCTAAAAAAAAAAATAAATAAAAAAAATATATTTGTAACTTCAAAATCATTTCAACTTCAAAAAAAATTGAATGTACTACAATTGAAAAAATACATAAACAGTTTTGCATTTTTTGTCTAAAATAATAAACGTACAATTTTTTTAATTATTTAATTTTAGTATTCCTTATTTTTGATTAAAAAAAAAAAAAAAAATTTTTGCCGAATACTCGAAAGTAAAATTATAACTTATCACATTTAAAAAACAAGTCTTAATATACTGGGTGTTAACATATATTGTTGCATATGGATCCTCAATTTTTTTTAGGGAGACAAAGTAATAATGTCGCTGATGAATTAACATCCCCCATATTGACACTTTTGCTTTATGTATGTCGATGTGATGAAATGGGTGGTTTACTGTGGCAATCTAGGTGGTTTTTTCTTTAATTGGTGAACATATCAACAATCTGGCTGGCTGTTAAACAGCCTCGTCTTGTGCGCATGTGAAGCAGTTTTGGTAGAAGTTCAAATTTTTTAGTGATGTTAAGCTAACGTAGCTCTCTACGGTTGCACCCCTTTGACAACGCGGTGCACATAGTAGAATTTATTTATCGATAATTTGTTATTTATTGCTATTTGTATTTTATAATAATTGGTCTCGCTAACAGGACTTGTACATATATTTACTTCCAAAAATGTGTATAACTAAAAAAATATTAAACTTCTGTGCTTAATTTTTTGTTTTATTTCAAGTGTCTCGATACAAAAAAAATATCATCTTTGGATTGCATATCTTAGAAATTAGCCTTCTGAACATAACGATATGTATTTTAGCGCGTATATAGTTAATTACTTGAAGATTGCAAAATTTAGGCAACCAAATTTACAAAAGTGATATAACACCTTAATGATTGCAAATGCTAGGCAACCAACAATACCACTGTTGACAATAATAAGTTGCTGAATCTTGGCGTCAGTGAACACATAATACACAGTGGAAATGAATGCTCCAACCAATCTCGTGCGTACTAAAGTGAGACAGCAAGTACTGAGAGATTATCTGTCTCTCTCGCACATTCACCCACACTTCGAAATGGCATGCTGCCTCCAGTAGTATATGCTCGAAGGTTATTTGAAATTTATAGTGACATTTCGTATTCTAAGACTGGCAGCACTGAATTACAGTCCACACTCCACAGTTGAGACGACATTAATTGTAACAAGATATCGCAATGTTGCCAATATAAGTCGAACTAGAATTTAGTTGCTTACCAAATTTTATTGTTTAAATATAGTTGGTATCAATTGAGTTTCACGAGTTTCTGTTGGAGGTAAAATAAAATAACCTCACTTTAAATAAGGTTCGTTTGTTTATTTTTTAATAGTTTATGGATTATAGAAAACTTAAGGAAAGTGCCATTCGTTCACATTTTTATTTGTTTTGTTTTTTTTTATAGATACATTGATTATAATGAAAGCGTCTCCGACTTACATATCATACATTTTTCATTCAAAGAATTATTGTTTTTTTTCCACATTTTACTATGTATTTTGAATGTAAGACAAACATAAATATTGTTTATATATTTTTTTAATTTCCGCATCTACACTCTACGTCTTGAGTATATTGATTTATATTTTGTATAATTTCAGACAGAAAAATTCATTAGTAAACATTTTGTATAGCAATAAGTCTAGAATTTCTGTAAATGAATCTAAATAAAATTCTAACTATTATAAGTCTTAATTTGCATTTAAATATTACACTTTTCCTAAAAAAATGCACTGGTGTTATCAGTTATGGTGATTATTGATTGTTGTGAAATCATTGTCAAGCTGCAGCAACTACTGAGTACTGATCCTTCTGATCTATTCATCTGCACTACCCTCTCATTTTTTCTTCATCGACCTTTTAATTTCTGATACCGCACAATTTTAGGTAAGTATATATTAAGATAATCATTAAGGAATATTGCCACGGTAAAAAAATATACCTTGTGTATTCTTTCTAACCTAAAAAAAATATTTTGGTGTTGATTGAAATATTCTCTCAATATTTCAGTCAAAGTTTTTAGTCTTTAATACTTATTGCACCCAAGGATTGCACCAATTCACTTACCTTTCATAAACCTATTTAGCAAAATAATCTAAACAATATAATACTATTATAACTTGATAAAAGTTAGTAGTTTAGCAGATGACTTTTTGTGATTTTAAAATTAGTATTTGTGGAAAATATAAGATCGTGATATACAATTAATTTTACGTATATTTACATAAAAAAAAAACAAGAAAAAGTACCACAAAATTTTACGCTTAATTTATTATTATTGGGTGTCATTATGTTTTCATTTAATTAGTTTAGTATTATTTTATTTAATGAGAACTACCTACAAAGTATTTTAAATTTTCCCGCGACACCACTTTGATATTAAACTGACTTTGGTAAGTAACTAGATATGTTAAGTTGGCAACGCTGTGAAATCTTGTTTAGTGATGGGAATAATCGAATGAATTTAATAATCGAGAGGTTACCGTTCGAATTAATTTTATAATCGAATGATCATTCGAATGATATATAATCGAAAGTCCACTTCGAAAATTTCCGACCTATCCCAAATTATATGTGAAAAAAACGAAATTAATGACTCGCGTATTGCGGAATTTCTTCGTTGTCAGTTGAGTTGTTCATCAGCATGTGTTTAAAATGAATAGTGGCCGCCTAAAGAGATCCATTGTTTGGGTTTTTGAAAAAAAATTAATATATAGAAAACATAATTTTTGTATTATTTTCATTCATATGAATTTCTATCTATGCTAAATAAAGCTTCCTTCTAAACCGCCCTTCAAAACCGCGCGATGCCACTCATAAAATTACTGCATATCTTTTATGCAGTGATAATCGATTGTCTCATCCATCCTCTCGGCCGTCTTATCTCGAGGTTTTGTATCTCGTTAGAGCGTTGGAATAATCGAAACACCTGTGCTTTCGCTCGAGCAGCGCGTTTGCGTTATTCGGTGATGACGAGTGACGATTGACGTTAGTAATGCTGTTGTGGCCACTGTCATTCGTCATTCGTCTAAGAATAATCGAATGAATTTATATGATCACTCGAGATATCTCGAGAGATTTTCATAATCGATATAATCGATAATTTTCATTCGAGTAGTCCCATCACTAATCTTGTTACAATTAGTGTCGTCTCCACAGTTGGTATCAGAACAGTGTTGCCAGCGCCAGCACTTTGGTCTGTTTTCAGCACCTTTTTAAACAAACTAGACCGTCGTACTTTCTCCTTACAATTCTGCACCTTTGCGAAGAGTATGACGTCAAGACAACCATAACCTATCATTGTTGGTACAACTCAAGATTTGTAAACTAATTACTTTACAAATCTTGGATACAAGTTGTATATAAATGCTACGGCTACTATGGGCCGTGGGGTGGATAGAGGGGTACGCCTTTTCCTATATTCTATGATTCTGTGGTGTTCTGTTTTGTGCTGTGATTGGCACATTCACACAATTGACAATGGTTGGACTACAGCTCTTGATGTGAGCTCTTGGGCAAGGATTTTATACATTGTATAAAATCCTTGGCTCTTGGGTACCTGGCATATCTCCGTCAAAAATGAATATAAAAATCTGAAATCTTAGGGGTGTACTCTAGATGGGGAGACCTAAGAGCGCACGTACCTACCTACTCCACATTATCTTTAAAAAATATATATTTTTTATGTTAACATATAAGGATACATAGTTTATTCAAATATAGTTTATATAATAGGATTTTTTTCATAAAATTTTACAAGACGTGGGTAACACATCTGTAAAAAATAAAAAATGTATTGCTGGTTGCATTTTCGTCATACCTACCTAGCATGTAATTAAGAACGTGATGAAGGAAGTAAAAGTAATTATTTATTAGACTTATTGTATCTGATTCGATATTATAAATTTTCTAGACTTTTTTCAAACAATTAGCACTTTTTCACTTCCCGATCTAGTACTTTTATTTTACGTCCGCTGGCAACACTGTATCAGAATGACATTAATCTAATCAGTAATGGCAGCTGTTAAAATAGTAGTGACATAATTTTGCAATTATGTTTATAATACATTCTTGATTATTATACTTATCTACCTTTTGTGGTAAATAGTATTTCCGCTTGCTAAAATTCAGTCAGTGTGGTTTATAAAGTTGCTAAAGTTATTAATGTTAATTCTGTCCAATTAAGAAGTGAACGCCCATTTATTATTTATTAATTACTTTACGAAAATGGAGGATATTTTCCAGTGGTGCAAAGAAGGAAATGCGTTACAAGTAAGGGTTTGGTTAGATGAACCCGAACATGATATGAATCAAGGGTAGGTAGAATGATTTATTGGACTTTAAATGAAATGTTCTGCTGCTCCCATTACCTTATTTGGAGATTGTATCATTTTGTTAAGAGGGGATTCTTATTTGATATTTGATTTGTAAATAAATCTTTGTTGATTCATTTAATTAAAACTATGTTTTCTTCATCAAGTTTGGCTTATGATAAACATATGTTTTTTATGAAAGAAACATGGATATTTCTTAATGCAACAGTAATGTTTAAAGTAGTAAAGAATTGTCATATGTATAGAAATTATTATTTTACCTTGAAATTTTTATTTATGAGACTGAATATTATATTTATTGTATACAATATTTGCAATTTTTATTTTTTGTAGAGATGATCATGGCTTTAGCCCACTTCACTGGGCTGCCATGAAAGGTCACAACAAAATTGTAGAAATGTTGCTTCTACGAGGGGCAAGAGTAAATGCAACAAATCGGGGGGATGATACACCTCTGCATTTGGCAGCTGCTCATGGTCACCGAGAAATAGTTCATATGGTATGACATTTTTATAAACACTGAGTATTTGTAGTGATATTCATATACTGTTAATTTTTCAGTTGCTTCGTCAAAGAGCTGATTTAAATTTCACAAACGAACATGGGAATACACCCCTTCATTATGCATGTTTCTGGGGCTACAATGAGATTGCCGAGGATCTTGTTCATCATGGTACAAAGGTCGCCATTGCTAATAAATATGGGGAAACTGCACTTGACAAATGTGCCAAAGGTACTCTTGCCAAAAGCCTTCATGACATTGCTGTGGAATCTGGCCAAGACCTCAAGAAAATTACGTTCAAAGACCAGAGTTGGTTGGGTATGAAGACTAGATCTCGAGATGCTACATTGTCCCGACACAAAGGTATAAACTTCAAGGAATTGGAGCTTAAGAGGAAAATTGCAGATACGCATAGTGGTGTCACCTACGTTGGCAGGTGGCAGAACAATGATATTGTGGCCAAAATACTGAAAATCCGTGACGTCACGCCCAGAATTTCCAGAGATTTTAATGAAGAGTTTCCCAAACTACGTATATTCTCCCATCCTAATATACTACCTGTTATTGGCTGCTGTAACAGCCCACCTAATTTAATAGTCATCAGCCAGTATTTACCACTGGGATCGCTGTATAACGTTTTGCATGAAGGAAGTGGCGGAATCGTCGTCGACACAGCGCAAGCCTTACGTTTTGCCATAGACGTCGCCAAGGGAATGGCATTCTTGCACAGCCTTGAGCGTACGATTCCGGAATACTTCTTAAATAGTCGTCACGTGATTATCGAAGAGGATCTAACGGCTCGAATAAATATGGCAGATGCCAAATTTTCCTTCCAAGAGAAGGGTCGTATTTACTATCCAGCGTGGATGTCACCGGAGGGGCTGCAAAAGAAAATTGCCGATAGGAACTGGGAGGCGTCCGACATGTGGAGTTTCGCTATATTACTCTGGGAACTTGCCACTCGCGAAGTGCCCTTTGCAGACCAAAGCCCAATGGAAGTCGGTATGAGGATCGCTCTTGAGGGTTTACGGATTAGTATCAAGCCGGGTATCCCGGCCCATCTGACTAAGTTGATTAGAATTTGTATGAACGAAGACCCGGGTAGAAGACCTACTTTTGACCAGATTATTCCCATCCTTGACAGAATGACTCATTAACTTTTATATTTCGTCGATGTGTTCACAGCTTTAACTTTGGGTGCCTATTTACCTACAATTCTTACTCTAAAGATCTGTAACATTAGTTTTAGACGAAAAAAATTACCGTTATTAACTTAAAAGTCCAAAACATTTTTGCTGTAATTCGGAATAAGTCATCAGATGTAACCATGGGGGCAATTAGCCCGGATTCTAAGGGGGGTGAGCAAATTTGAAATATCAGAATATAAAATCTCCCAAATTTAAGGTCCGTGAGTAAATTGTATACGATCTAAAAATCAGCAACCGATGCTGAACAGTGCGCTAACAAATATACAGGGTGTTCTCAATGTTGAGTCATTTATTTTGACAGCTGGTAGAACTAATAAAAAAAGTCGATTTACCAAAAATCGTTATAAAAATTATCAAATAAAGCAATTATTAACAATTATTTAAAAAAATTGAAATTTAAACGTACGTTGTACAAAAATAAATTGTTTACTAACGGTTTTCGTGACCTTCTCGTTGTTCCTTTAAATATCCTGCGTTGCGGAGTCTTATACCTAATTTTACAATCATCCGCGGAGCCGAATGATTTCATAAAGGAAACTTCCACATACAAGTGACATGCTGCGGTTGCATTTTGTTGACACTCCCCGTAAGTTACTGTTATGTCCACTGTATGAATTATTTAGCACTGTCAAATTGAAAAGCGTACTCAAAACTGTGCAACTACAAAAAAACGATATACCTAGTATCAGTAGTAAACAAACTATTTATGTTTTTACAACGGAGTGGTCGAAAATGACAATAAATCAGGTTTGTATTAGAAAGTTTTTAAATTCCAATTTTTTTGAGAACATAAAGGACTGATAGACTATATATTATATATATATTTCTTTGGTATTTCGACATACTGCAAATTAAAAAATAAAATGCCACAAACATTTAGATCTAATAAATATTTCACTGGACATATAGTTAGTGTCCACTTGATAGATGTAAAAAATTAGCAAGCTTTCACGAGTGAAATTTTGGTGCATCTTGGCAGACTAAATCTATAGTACCTTCTAACAGGCCATATCACGGTAAACAAGTACTCTGCATATTAATACCCCACAGAATTATATATCCTCAATGTCTAGTAAACAGTATGACCATTCGTCAGTAGAACCACCAGACATATATCGATTTCGAACTTATTCTCATCAATGTGTCGTAGGCTAGTCTACTAATGAATGAACGAGACGTTTTTAGTACCTTAATAGATATACAAGGTGTAAAAAGAAGAAGCAAAATTCAGTAATTTTTAAATGCACAAGTACAAAACAAACTACAGCATATGCTCAAAATTCCTTCGAATCCAATTTTCGCGCAGTCGCTGGAAAACACGTCAAGAAAAGGAAATAGTGGTAGGCAAAAAACACTCAGACACGGTCCAATTCCAGATAGCAACTGAATTGCGTATTGCTGGACAGCTGACAGCTTAGTACCTTGTGTTATCCGCCGCACCGTTGTTACATTAGATATGATTTTATTGAATTTTAAATTTATTACATCGCTAATTATTTTTTAGTATTAAGCATAAAGAAGTTCCAAAAATTTAGAAACATTGTATTTTATGGTATTCTATGCACGCAGTTATCGAACTTTTGTAGATCAAGTTGGAGATTTTGATAAATTTTTTCTCGAAAATGGTTGGGATTAGGACCCATGCCATATAAGGTGTTTTTGTTTATTTTAATATGTATATTCTATCGTCTGTTAAAATTAATCCAGTCAAACTTCTGACACCCTGTAGAGTGAGTGCAGATGAGACATATGACAAAACAGGTCTTGCTCTCATAGTACCTGCGGAATAGCAGGTTGCTCTCTGCCAGTTTGGCCGTATTGAAGGGTTAGGCAACGAGTAGCAGTGGCCATTCACAGTTTTAGCACTTTTCATGTTACCTTTGCCGTAATAAAGTACAAACCCGAATTATACGATTTACTCTCGGACTTTAGTACTAAATATAGTTTTTAATTTATAGCATGACCTTTACTTGAACTTTTAGAAAACAGGATCAAATAACTTAGCAGAACATTAAACTCTTGTAATAGAAAATTATGTACCTGCGGTGGTAAATTATTTTAAGGTGTGAAAAATCTTTTTTCTAAAAACATTTGTTGGAATACTTGGAAATCAAATCAATAATTAGAAAAACCCATTTTATTTTCTAGCTGGTGCTATAATAATCATTAGTTCATCACGAATCATTTGCTGTGATAAAGACAGGTATTTTTCGAATTGTCAACTTTGTTATTATAATTAATATCTTAAGAAATCATTTAATACCAGAAATAATATTACTAACAGTAAGTGGTTCCCACCATTTTCTACTGAAGTAAGTTTTAACAAATATCAATTTAATTCTTAATACATATTTTTAAAAAATCACGTTTTTTTTTGAATGGATTATTAAAACAAGTGATTTTTATCTTGATCACAACCCAAATGATAAATTAATTGGGTAAATTAAATTGTAACCAATCAATAGTATATTTTTTAAACAAGACAATTCACACATGCCAATTAGGTAATATTAAACACTTCTGGATTATTATAATAGTTATATTTTCGTATCAGATATTTTATTTAATGCACAGCAGCTTGCGGTAATAAATTTATACAGTTAGATTGTTTATCATAGCAAAAAAATGTTTATTTTTAAAACTTATATGGTGAAGAGAATCAACAAAAAATAAATTAATATCGCATATTTCTTTGCTGGATACAAATATACGAATTTTGAAACAATCAATTCAGATATTTTAATACAGTTTTGGAGGACTATAAATATATTTGTGTACTGTATTCATTGCATAAATTCAACTTTATTTTTTCTACGAGATATATTACTTTTTTAAAGAATTATGGCCAATGTTTATCATACAAGTACTTTCCACAGGTTGGTGTTATCCAGCATTGTATCGTGGGAAACGTTGTTTTTAATAATAGGTGCCCTTTACATTAATTAATAATGAACATGGAATTAAATAGTAAAAGGAAAATTATTTGAGTGCCTTCTATCGCCATGTGTAACATAGAAAATCGAGCTTAAAAGACTTAACAATTTGATAATATTTGTAAGATTATATGTTATGTAAATGTTTTTCTTTGTATATGTATTAATTTTAATAAGGTGCTTTTTCACAATATAATTAAAAAATCTTATAAATAAAATTTTTAACTTGTTTTAGATTGTGTTTTATTTTTATACTCGTCTTTCAAATGAATTAAAAATTGTTAGCTGCTCAAATAGTTCTGCAGGTTATCATAAAGGAAAACTGGATTATCATCAGGACATTAGGATTATAAAAATTGAGTTGCACATATAAAAAAAAACAATTTGTCAGATGTAAGAGTAGATTTTTTATGCATTTGACTCAATATGTTTTTTACGTTGCTAGGAATTCCAGTCTAAGAAATCATTCAAAAAATAAGGATGTATAGCTTTAGTTAAGCATTTTTAATTATCTGGGGGGGGGGGGTCCCTATGAATATGAGCTAAAAGATATTCACTAAAATGATATGCTAGTCTTGATATGATGCAAACCCCACAGGCCCCATTATCGCTGTTTTATTTACGCATAAATGTAACAAACTATTTATCACTACGTGTATAAATTTTTACTTTTTCTACAATCGAATAGCTATTTGAGAAATTGAAAAAAAAAGTTATAAATTTCATTGTCGGATGGTGGCCTATATACTATATTTCCAACATCTAGGTAAACCAGAAAGCTTCCTGCATACTGGTCTCAAGAGAAAATATGATTCCAACTTATGAAAATTCTAAGAAAAATTTTTATACTTGATTTGAATAACTTATTAATTTTAAAAGTAAGGTAAAGATACAAAAGTTTATATTAAAAATACGTTATAAAATAAATATTGGTTTCCAACATAAAGAAGAGGGCTTAAATTTGGCCGATGTCTATGGGTTATATACAGGGTGTTCCAATAAAAAAAAAACACCCTGAATATCTGAAAGGAGTCATTTTTTTATAGATTGAATTATATTTTTTAAAAGTAATATTAAATCAATATTGCAAAAATAAATCTGTGTATTTTGAAAAAATTACAAAATCAGTGAAAAAAATGGGCACGGCACTATGATCTATTAGTCCCACCAAATTACACTTAGAGAAAAAAAAAATTGTTATCTGGACTTTTATAAGTGAAAATGGTAAAAGGGCTTATAATAAATCTAAAAAAATAAATGCGTGAGCAGGGGCGGCGGAGTGTTGAAAAGTTGTATCATTTGGATTTCTGACGAAAGTTGGCGTCAAACAAAAAAGTATCTAATGCAAAAATTTACAACTTTTGTAGAGGTCACTTTTTACGATAACCTCAAAATTTTTCGTTTTTTATTTCTCATATCCGCAAAAATAACTTAATTTTGACGAAACTTGGTGAAAGTATACCTTTTTATGTCTTAAATAACCACAAATTTTTTTAAATAAAAAAATCAAGAAGTTTCCGCGATATTCATTTTTTCCGGTCTGAAACACTTTTTTTCAGAAAAATTAGGTTTTTTTTGTATTTTTTCCGTGCAATTGAATGGTGTAATCAGTTTTTGATTTTTTTTAATTTAAATAAATTAACAACAATTACTGAAAAATTCATTGTTGCATGTCGTTTTTTATTTTTTTTTGCATTTTTGACCATGTTTTTGAACTGCGATTACAGATTTTTTTATTTCACCAAAAAGTATGTCAGAACGAAAAAAATGATCACCGGCAGAATTCTGTACGATGATTTTTGAAAGTAGAATTTTTCTTTGAAAAAAAGTGATTCAGACCGGAAAAAATCAATATCTCGGAAACTTCTTGATTTTTATATCTAAAAAAAATTGTGGTTATTTAAGACACAGAAAGGTATACTTTCACCAAGTTTCGTTAAAATTAAATTATTTTTGCGGAAATGAGAAATAAAAAACTAAAAATAAGAAAAAAACCTGTTTGTCGCATTTTTCTCGGAAATTTTGAGGATATCTTAAAAAGTGACCTCTATAAAAGTTGTAGATTTTTGCATGATCTACAACTTTTGTATTGGAAACTTTTTTGTTTGACGTCAACTTTCTCCAGAAACCCAATGATACAATTTTTCACAACCCCAAAAATTAACCCTCAAACATTTATTTTTGTTTCGTTTATTACCATTTCCACTTACAAAAGTCCAGGTAACAATTTCCTTTTTTTTCCCTCTAAATGAGTTATTTCGATAGGTCTATATGGAAAAACACGTACAAGAATCGTATAAAGATTTTTTTGATACCTATTGCTTATAGGGGACAAAATAGAAATTGGCCAAAAAATTCAACATTATATTAGTGACGTCAAAGATTAAATTTTAGTT